TAGATAGATAGATAGATAGATAGATAGATAGATAGATAGATAGATAGATAGATAGATAGATAGATGGATGGATGCTGACCATTCTGGCTGACAACTCTGGGAATTAAAAGTCTATAGAGATTCTCAGTTATCCAAATCATGGTTGACCCAAAGGTGCTTTTTCAAGAGGCAACTGGACTTTCTGTTTTTTCTTTGAAGATGTTTTGTTTCTCATCCAAGAAGCTTCTTCAGCTCCTTCCATTCGCCACCATACAGTCAGAGCTGAAGAAGCTTCTTGGATGTGAAGCAAAGCATCTTTAAACTTTTAGAATATGGAGTGCACCAGGTCTGGTCTAGGTATTAACACAGGAGTTGTCCATACCAATCTCTTGAGTGGCTGCTCCCTCAAAATGCTCAGGACCACAACACTGAAAGAGATGGTGGGGATTCATAGCAAAGATTCTGAGGGCCTTCACGTGGCCATAAGCCCTGCAGATATGTGGTCATCCATGTCATGACAAGAGAGGCTGCTTGTTGAACCTTCCACTTGCTCTTCTTCCCTGTCTATTGCTGGGCACAATCCAATTCTGCAGCAGGAGTTGGGGAAGAGAGTGGATTAAAGGATTGACAGAGGAATGTCAGTGATTCAGCATCTCTCTGTTTGGCAAAGCAGACTTTGGGGAAAGCCATAACATCATGCTTAACAATCAGCATGCTACTGAACAGAAAGGATGACAGATTTTACAATTGGTTGCATGAAGCCCAGACCAATTAATTTTGTGCATCATAACCATTACTTTTCATCCACTGCAGAAAGAGTTCTTAAAGTTTATCTGCAGATCTGTGCAGAAGGAAGAAGAAGCAACTCTTGCATTAAACATGCACAGAAGTAATGTCTAGTGTAAGTCATATGTTGCATAGGTGCTCAGCAGGGTAGAAAAATAAGCAGACATTTATTTAAGATGAAGATGCCGAATTTTAAGGGTGGGGGGGAGGCAGCATCAGTTGTGAATTTCTATCTTGAAATACAACCGAAACTAGCATTTACCCGTCAAGGGGAAAGCATGCAAGTCAGTTCATTCTGCACTGACAGTTGCGTTTTCACCTGGCGTGGTTTCGGTTTTACATCTTGATTCACACCCGCAATAAAAATGGGGCGAATTGAATAAATTGCCACAGAATGCCCTAGTACCCCAAAAGTGTATGATGAGCTGGCCACGGCGATCCGACGTGCCCTGAAGTGATATGAGAGGTGGGGGGGGGGGAATCAAATCAGGCTGTTATAAGTTTTGCTCCTGCCGGGCGTTTAGCAGCGTCTTATTGCAAGGTGGAAGGAGAAAAGCTTGTGTCAGCTGAGGGAGGGGGCGAGAGAAAGAAAGAAGCCCAACTACTCCTTAGGAACGCTCTGCTTGATTATTTAACTCTTTATTTTGTGTTCCCGGGATTTTCTGCTCTCCCACTCACCCCCCCCCCCAATATCCCGGCGCAAAACTGTCCAAGGAGTCACCTAATCAAAGTAACACCAAATCAGATCGTTCCCGACCCAGCCTCTACTTAGATGTAGAAAAACTCCAAATCCCCCCAAATCCAGGCGGGGTGGGTGCTGGGAGGACTTTTTCCAGGCGGATCCCAGCGACCGGGACGCAGACAATAGCTGTGGCTTCCGCGGTTTTAGCGCTTGGATTGCCACCGATCCGTTTTCGCGCCCGCGTTTCTCTCTCTCTCTCTCTCTCTCTCCTCTTCCTTCGGGCTAGCTAGGGGTCCTTTGCCGGCTCTCGGATTGCCCAGATGGTTTATTTTTTTCTCCTTTCACTGAAAGAAGGGAAGGGAAGAGAATCGAGAAGGAAAGAGTGTTTCGGAAAGGGCCCGTCTCTTTCCTACCTCGCTTTCGCAGATCGTTCCCCGCTTCCCCCCTCCCTTTTTTTTTTTTTTGCTATTTGAAATGTTTCCCACAAAACAAGACACAGACCCACAGGGATCATGTCTGAGGGGATGATGGTTTCTGGGAATATTAGAGGGGGACGGGAAACCGTTTCGAAAGGACCCCCCACCTGCCGGAGCTGGCAGCTGACAGGGGCTCCCGCTTTCCTCGCTTCCCGCTCGTCGGTACGCTTTTGCGCGCTCGCCGTTTGGCCGGAGCGTTCCCCGTCCTTTTATTGCACATCCTGACAAGGAAAACGTTCTTCCCGCGTCTTTGAACATCTTGTTCCACGGAAAAGTTTTGTTTTCCCCTCACTATTTGGAAAAGCGGAATGAATGAGATTCTACCGTTGTTTCTTTCTTTTTTTATCTTTAGGAGGAAAATTGTACGTGGGCGATCCTTAATTCTAAATCCGTTTTTTTCCCTCTCTCTCTTTTTAATTGTTTTAAAACGCTCCCGCATGAGGGAAAGAAATTGTCCTACTTCTTTGGCACATCTTTAACCTTTCCAGTATCATATACATACATACATACATACATACATACATACATACATACATACATACATACATACATACATACATACATACATAC